CAGTCAGCATCACTGCTCTCTAGAAAAACAGATCAACTTCAAGCTTTCCTTTTGCATCCTTGCCCCTGCACTGCTGACATCATTTTGCTCTGACATACAGGTCATATTTGCTCTCAGCTGAACTCCCTCACCTTTCAATCCCTCTCACTTTTCACACTAATCCACCCCACCAGCATTTGGATTCCCCTGTGCTGCTCCACCGGCTAAAACCACAGCCAATTTCCTCTGCACCTTCCCCTTTTCTTGCCCAGTGTTTACTTTTCACGCAAAACCCGCTTGGAGTGGGACATAACTATTTTTGCCCAGTCTCTTAACTCTGGTCATATTTCCTTCAACACACGTGTTTTTAACCAGTTGGAGGGAGAAAGGGCTTTAGTCTCATTTGTGTCTCCAAAATATCCAGCTACAGGCAAGGCTGCCCAAGCTTTGGAATGAGTATTTCAGCTGGGCGTTTCAGAGCCCACATTAAGACTGGCGGTTGGCACACAAATGCCAAGAGGAACCCTCGGCTTCAGCAGACTCAGCTGTGATAGGAGTTCAGAAATCGAGGGTGAAGAAGACAGAACAATGCTACCACTTCCCTGGGGAGATGCTGCTTTCTAGCCCCTGCTGTTACCTGGCTCAGAGTGAAAACACCTAAATTGCAATTGCCCACCCAAATTTTCAAGCCTTTGCGCCAAACACTGCTACTTCAGGTCACCAGTCCATGGAGCGACTCAATAGGCTTAGTCCTTCTCTCCTCATCTGAAACCAGGCTTGGAAAGGAAAATCCCTGCAGCTTTCCCTGTGAGTTTGCTTCCCATTACGCCATCAACTTTTGAGACCCGATTTTCACTGTGCCCCTTCATTCTCCCCTCCGGCTAAGCCTGACAGTGAGGAAGACAGCGTGATTGAATTGCATTTGAGAAAGTCATACGTGAAGCCAGTGAAACGTGCTGCCAAAATACAGCTCCCCCACCACCCCCCCCAATGCTTATGGGAAACCAGAGGATTGTATTTCATTCTGCAGTTCACTCAGCTGAATCCCTAAGCCTCTGGCTGCCAAGAAAGCCACCCTCTTTGCTCAGACAGTTTCTGCTCGTGCTGATTTACAAATTCAGAACATCGACGTGCTGTAACAAAGCAAAGTCCAGCTGCACTCTCATTGTAAAAAATACGGTGCGGCAGTCTGCTCTCTGCATGCTCACAAAGCTTCCCTTTCACAGTCTCTTCATCATCAGACACTGGTGACTACTCTCTCAGCTGATGGCAAAGAGTATTTGAAAGAATTTCTTTTACAGACACAAACCCAATAGCTCCTCCAGCATAAAATCCTTGTGACTGCATCCAGGTGAGAAACTTTTTGGGTTTTTTTTTTTGAGGAATCAAAATCTAAGCAAAACTCAGGTTTAGAATGAGCTGAAGTTGTTTGAATCCATTCAGGAGCAATTCTCCTTTTCCGCACTTTTTTGACTTCCACAAGCAAATCCATGCCCAGTTCAGCTTGCTCACACAAGCAGGGGAGTCCTCAGTTTGAGTCCTCTCTGCCTGACTTGAACCATCAACACCCAAATTCCCCAGTGACACACTCGGATGGGGCAGGGTACACCAGTGAGATTTTCTGCTTCCTGCCTCTGGGAATATCACCTCCAGCAAAATTCTGCTGATTTACACTGCTTTAGTTCTGCTCTACCTCCCTCCCCAGCTCTTGAGGGAACATATCATAGAAAAAAACAACATTAAAAAGAGAAACAGATTAAAAAAATCTTTTTCTAGTGCACAAATATTTCTGCTTTCAATTCTAAACAAGGTCCCAGGCCACCAAGGTTAGTTTTGGTTTCCTTGGTACCAGTGCTCAAAACCACTCCAGGAACACGCAACAACCTAAATAAGGTCCTCAGGACTTATTTTGGTTATTATCAGGAAACTGCAAAGATGAACAGGATGCGACCTTCCAAAATTGCCTGGTTTGTGATGGAGGGGAAATTGGTGAAGCATAATTATGGTAAATAGAAGCAAAACAAGATAACAGCGTCTGTGAAATGGGTCCTAAAACCTATTATCCTTGTTTACAATGAAGCTCTTCATGAAGGCAAGCAGATCAGGTGTGTTCTAAACCTAGATATATCCATCTGTAGAGCATCTCTAAGCACCTGTACCTACTGCATCTTCCTGGCAGAATAATTTTATTTTCGTTTCAGAGGTTTGTACCACTCAAGACTAAGAAAATTCTCACTAGTCCTTTTCTAGGTTAGAGGCCAGAACTTTCAGCAAGGGGATAATCCAGTTATTAAGGCTATTCAGCCCTTAGCCTGCAATACAAGAGACCCCGGGTTTAATTCTCTGGTCTTCCATAGGCTTCTCCTGCCATGTAATTACTGATCATCATTTATGTCACTGCAATAGTGGAGTGCACTGATTTTCCAGAACTCTTAATATCATGGGTTGGAAAGCACTGTCACAGTTGTAAATCAGGGAGCTCGAGTTCACTTTTTGATGGGGGTAAACTGTAGTTTATTAGAAGAAACTCACTTAGTAATAATGCTGTATCTAACAGAAATAATATTAGCTCCAGAAGTCTGAGAGAAAAAAAAGGTCTACGTATTGAGCAGCTAGAAAATGTACTGTCTTTCTTCATAAAATAGCCACAAGGGAACAAAAAAGCCAGGTTCATCACTCTGTTATACTGAAACCCAAAAATACTGACCAAACATTATCAGTACACTGCAAATACAATACCTCAGCAACAATGGCATTTGTTATCATTCAAAAGAAATCAAAGTATGTGGGTTTTTTCCATTTTAATCTAGAGCCCTAGACAATCTCATGGCAGGGTGTTTCCTTCCTGTTAAAGCCCACATGCTCTGATGCCTGTAAAAACTCAGCATAAGAAAGGGAGAAGGAAATGAGGGGTCTTCTAGTGAACAGCTCTCATCCCAAAAGCACCTGCTGTGAAGTTGCAGAAATTCAGGCTGTAGCCAACTATCACCCGTGCTGTAAAAATAAGATGCAAAAGTCACCTCCAGGTAGCAACCACGCAGGGCACAGAAACACTGAAGAGCTGAAGGTCCAGTAAAAATTTCAGCTGCAACTTCCCACTAGTTAATCACAAGGCTCCTGGTCAATGCCCTAAATTTCAGCCTTTTTCCCAAAGCAGACACAGCGTAGTGCTTCTCTCGGACAATGCAGGTGCATTTCAGACAGGCAGTTTTGCCTTCATTTGGGTTTCACCAGCAACACATGATGCAGCAGACGAACAGAGCAGCTGGAGAGACCTTTTTCAGGCAAGTAACCAGCAATTGCCAAGTTGACTGTGCAGTTTTGGAAATGCCTGGTCAATCTCTATTTAAATTCTCAGCTCCCTCCTTAAATCTGGCCCTCTTTCTGCAGTGCCTCTCATCATGCTGCTTGCCTGCTAATCACAGGTGGGACCCTCTGTTAAAAGTTGGGCTCTGAATACAGGCTGGAGCAGGCTGAGGTTGCTGGAGCTTGCGCTGGCTGTTTCTATGCGGTTCCAATCAGAATCCGGAAAATAAGCATTTCATCAGAAGGCTAAAACACAAATCATATTTTAGTATACCTTGAAATTCCAGTTATGATGAGCATCTATCTGATAACACTTAATGCAAGATACCTGCACTACAAATCCACTCTGCAATTACTTGTCACTGCAGATGAGGAACTGGCTCAGGCATTCACGAGTCCAAATCCAACAACACGCACGCTGCTCCAGAAGCTGCAATCAGACCGAACTTCCCTTTTTTTTTTTAATTTTAAGTAAGTTGCAGATTATTTCCAAAACCCCAAGAGGGCCTTCAGCCTGACAAACGATCACTCCAGAGCACAACCTGTGATGTCAAAGCCCAATCCTTTGCCTCCTCAAGTGGATTTTCTTCTCAGTTCATTTCTGTGGAATTTATTAGAGGCATTTTCAGCTACACAAAGTAGTTGCTCAGATCATATACGACAGAAACCTCTCAGCAGAAAAGTTCCAGATGCTTGCTACTAAAGACCTGGTGAAAAACTTCCCTTTCGATGGTCCCATCATTCATTACCCCATTTCTTTGCACCAGTGCTCCACAATTTACTGTGAACTACTTCCTTATCCAACTATTTCTTAGATCCTCTATTACCACCATATTTAGTAGTATCCAGTCTTAAGCAAACTTTTGTTCACAGTGCTTTTGCAAGGAAAAGGAATACTTCTCTCTCCATAGGGAGCTTAGAGATATTAAGTGATTTGATCAGGGGCAGGAAGCAGAACAGCCAAGTTAGGTCTCCTGATTCCTAGGTTAACACCCCCGTCATTTAATTACCTTTTGATTCATTACAGTAAAACCAGGCAGTTCCAGTGCACCAGGCACTGTTTGTACACACACAGCCTGACATCTTAAAAAGCTTCATTCCATTGTCACAGGAGAAGATGTGAGGCATGCAGATAAGAGAGCTCCTGGGAAAATTCAGGAACACAATGTAGAAAAAGGACAATGCGTGGCCAGGAACAACTCTCGTCAAACTATTTGCTGTGCAGCCCCAATTGTTTTTCTCCCAAAGACAGAAAAATCAAAACCCTGTCTTCGTACGCAGGTAGACAGCAATCCCTGGGGGAAGGCTGATATTGCCAACAGTCAGAAGGAAGGATTATCATGAAGACTTCACTTCTTCACCACACCAATCACATGGAAATCTTATGGTCACTACTAATAAATACTGTGCCTACCTGCTGCTTCTGCTCTGGAAGTTGACCATATGGTGTTAATCATTAAGTCACCAGGGGAATGCCCCAACACACAGACATCCACACAATCTGCCTGCAAAGTTGGCTGCTGAAATATGCAAACACACCTAAGTGTGGCAGGAATGTTTTTTTTCTGTTTACCCTTCAATACAAGATAAGAAAAGGGTCAGGGTCAGGGTAACCACGATTTTGGAGTGCCCATACTCCAGTCCTGTTTTCTTTTCCTAGATTTAGGTTGAAGAAAGCCAGGACAGAGAGCATGCAAACGGCGAAAGGAACTCACCGCTTTGAGGATTGCCACTGCGTCCTGCTGGAGCCACGTTGGGTAGACGACTTCGTCATTCAGAATGGCCTCGAAGAGGTCGTCCTCGTTCTCTGCCTCAAAGGGTGCGTGACCGCACAGCATCTCGTACAGCAGCACGCCCATGGCCCACCAGTCTACGTCAGGGCCATACAGCATCTCCTGCAGGATCTGAAAAAGGGATGGGAAAGAAATATCAATGCTGAAGCTTCTTAAAATGAGCAGGGGAGGAAAAACGATGCTGAAACAATGCAGAAGTTCTCACTACATCCTATCAGTGCTCTCCACTAGGTTGGCTGTATGTCCAGTAACATATAAGTGATCTAAAGCTGGGAACCCCCAGATCAGCACAGGGGTAAATCAGATGTATTAAACAAGGGCTGGACTAGCTTGGCTGCTCACAGGGTCACTTAGGAAACAAACCCTTAGAAATTATACTAAGGCTTAGCAGGAGGAGAAGGGGCATTTCAGCAAAACTGGCTGAATCTCAGAAGCAGCAGAGCAGCCATCTGTGAGGGTTGACATCGCCTCTTCCTTGTTCCGGTAAGGAAATGCTTACCCGGCTCCAACAGTAAGGCTTTCAGCTGGAGTGGGGAGGGTGTGAGAAAGGCACAAACACCAACCACAGGCAAAAATTCAATTGCGTTGAAGAAGGATCTGAAACCCTGTCAGAATATCTGGCAGCATCTGGAGGGCAGCTGCTCCTTAAAGAGGTGTTTATTCATTTTATAGTGAGACTGGGGAATGACAGAGAATGGGAAGAGGTAGGAACTGGGAAGTGAGGGAGAATTTTATCTCCTTTCAAATCAAAACACGGCCAGTATCTGTATGTGCCTCTCTCAAGATTTTTTGCAGCTGTGCCTCCATGTTTCACTTCATGTTTCCTAAAGAAAAATACAGGCTTCTCTTGGTGCCTACAGCAGCCTGAAGGTTTATTCATGCTTTGCTTGTGCAAGGGACTGCACAAGCACACACCTAGGAGAAAACCTTGCACTCGGTAGTCAAATGAGGTGTTGCTAAAGACAGTAGAGAGTACACTTGCTGTTCCAAAGCTAACCTATTATATTGTAACCAAATTTCCCCGCCAAAGAAAGGTTTCCTATACCTCTGGAGCGATGTAGTCTGGTGTGCCACAGAAGGTGGCTGTGGTAATGCCATTGTGAATGCCCTCTTTGCACATTCCAAAGTCTGCCAGCTTGCAGTGACCCTCGTAGTCCAGTAGCACGTTGTCCAGCTTCAAGTCCCTGCAACGAGAATCGTTCACCGAGTCACTACGTGCCTGGAGCAGCCCCAGCACAAATGGAGGCAGCGTCCCAGACTTCAGAAGCTTAACTTGTAAACTGGACAAGCCTCATCATCATAAAAAAATAAACAGAAGCCATGCAGGAGGGGTTTTCCTTTGCTTCATCTCTTACAAAAGGGAGGGAGGAACAAACATCATTCTGCCGAACTGCATTTAATATGGGCAGGTGCTATACGAGTTCTCCCACATGGCTTTCCAAACACACCACAGGCTGGCTGGCAGAGCTCCTGCTCATTTAGCTCAGGGACTCACTGGAGCAGAGGTTGCCAGAGCTGTCAAATTGCATAACGATGTTATGATGCAGCAAAATGCACCACACGGGACCGGCTCTGATTCAGCAAAGCACGGCCCTGGGAGCACACAGCTGGAGCCGGGGAGGCATGCAAGGCCCCTTCAGAGGGGACCAGATCACCTCCTGAGGTGTGGGGGGTTAAGTCACAGATTTCCCTGTATCAGGCCAAGCCGGATTGATAAATCCCACCTGGAGTGTTACCCAAGCTGAGAAGAAAAGATATTCCCTGCTGACACCATGTTGCGTGGGCAGTCAGCCAGCATGGGATGCCTCCATCATAAGGCAAAGTCTTAAAAGTCCTCCCAGATGTATCGATTCCAGCAGGACTGCACTAACGTATAGTGCTCATTGGGGTGGGGACCTCCTTGTCACTGTCACAAGAGACCTGCAGCCAAACAAGCTGCAGAAAGGCACATTTTCCAATACGTCACCTCTAAGAGCCTGGGAGCTTCTCATCAAAAGCAGAGTTGCCAAAATGAGAGAGCCCTAGCAGAGCTTATCAGCTTGCCTGACCTTGAGATTGCCTGAGGGAATAGCCCGCAGTCAGAAGCGCCGTTGGGAACACGACCAGAAAGCACGGTGTCATCCGCAGACCTAGGCAATGCCTTCCTAAAAATACATACTAGCTCCCGGCACCTCCACTTCCCAGCTGCCAGGCGAGCTCTAGGCACAGTCACAGCGGAGGAGAGGAGCTGTGATGGGAGCTCTGTGCAGTACAAATAGGTCACAGTCCATTCTTTGAACTGTCTCATGTACTGGCCCAAGAGTTGCAGGGAAGTGTTACCATCGCCTGTTCACCAAGATGGAGGACACCTTATAGGACTAGACAAAGCCACCTTCAAAGTCATTCAGATGCCAAAATAAGGATCAAATAACTAAATACATTTGAGGGTCTTGGGACCCCGTCATGAAATCCATGATGGAACTGAATCCTTTTGCCCTCTGGTTCGACACCTATTTCCATGGGGAGGGTGGTAACATAGTTGATGGCAACTCCATATCAATATCAAAACCTATGGGTGAGCTGAAATCTGAATCCAGCTTTATCCTGTTCATTGTCTGTCTATGATCATAAAGTGAAAATCAGGTGGCTGATTGCTCTGTTGTCATTGGCATTTCTACAGCCCATCCCCCCACCCGAAGCCTCTCTGCAGCTTGAGACAGCTCTCTCTCAACTTCATTGCTGCAGTGGAAAGGATCAATAACACATTGCACTAGACAACCAGAGCAACAACCTGGCCTAAAAAGATAAAAAAAAGTATTATTAGCCTCTTTTGAACAGATGTAAAACCAAGGGGTAGAGGTTAAGAAATTTGCCCATGTCCCTTAGAGCCAAGACTAAACAAGAGTTCCTGAGTTCCAGCTCTGGACCTTTGTTGCAGGATCATACAACCCTGCTCTGCAGCTTTAACATATCATGGCAACACAAGCCAGCAAAAAGCCTTCTGCAACGATGCTTCCTTTCCCAGCAGGCCCACCAGCTATCCAGTGGCCAGTGAAATTTGGATGACAAGGACGGTGCAGTGTTTACTCTGGGTGGGATGCTCAGCAGAAGACACTTATTTTCCTCCTTCTGAGAATCAAAAATGGCTGCTAAGGCATGTGGGCAAAGACTCATCCTGGAAAGGCTTTAGGTAAGCACAGTGAGAGGTATTGTACGTGCTCACCCATGACAGTACGCCTTGAGCAGCAGTTTACAGCCAAAGCTCCTGTTGCTCTTCCCTGTGGTTCTTGGCAGACCCGGGAAGCCCTCTGAGCATGAAGGCAGGCCTTGTTTCCAGCGGCCTACAATGATGTGGTTGAAACGCGCAGTTTATTCTTGGCTCAGTTTTAAATGCAGCAAAAGCCTTTTAGGTCCTGAGCAGGCCCGACCATTGGGGGGTGCTCCCAAAGGTATGACTGGAAGGGGGGCTCTGGCGAACCTGCTTGGAGATCCTTCTTTCAAACCTCTCCTCACTCCCCAAAACATCCGCCAGGCCCTGGCATGCTTTGGGGATACCTCAAAATACACCTTCCTTATACCCAAGCCAGCAGAAACAGCATCATGTCCATTGACTGAGCAAGCAGGTTACAGTCATAGAATCATAGAATCATAGAATGGTTTGGGTGGGAAGGGACCTTAAAGATCATCTAGTTCCAACCCCCCTGCCATGGGCAGGGACACCTTCCACTAGACCAGCTTGCTCAAAGCCTCATCCAGCCTGGCCTTGAAGACATCCAGGGATGGGGCATCCACAACATCTCTGGGCAACCTGTTCCAGTGCCTCACCACCCTCTTTGTCAAGAATTTCTTCCTGATATCTAATCTAACCCTCCCTGATTTCAATTTGTACCCATTACCCCTTGTCCTGACACTACAGGCCCATGTAAAAAGTCCTCTCCCAGCACCCTTGTAGGCCCCCTTCAGGTACTGGAAAGCTGCAATGAGGTCTCCTCGGAGCCTCCTCTTCTCCAGGCTGAACAAGCCCAATTCTCTCAGCTTTTCATCATAGGAGAGGTGCTCCAGCCCTCTGATCATCTTCATGGCCTCCTCTGGACTCGCTCCAAGTGGTCAATATCCTTCTGATGTTGAGGGCTCCACAGTCCCTCATGGACAGCCTGAGGAGCAGAGGCAAGACACAGCTATGAGCCAGGGCCAGCTCTTCAGACCAGATCACCCACTGCTCTGGCACTTCTTAGCCTCTGCCCCACTGGACATGCTGCAGAAATCCCCAAATCCCTGCTAGCTGTGTAACGCATGATGCTCATCATCAAGATGGCAGGAGCTTCTGCAGGTGCAAGAGTACTCTGCACAGGCTGTGTCCTCCCAGAAAGCCTCTATATATGTAACAACCATTAAATTTAAACTGTCTGCCTCTCACTGAGCAAGCAGAGTTTTAATGACCCAAGGCAAACCTCAAGCCCTGTGACTTCTCTACATTGTACATTAAACCCATTAAGAGCACTTGTTGTCTCCTCCTGCAGTTGGGATATTGGCTTGTCCTGACTTCTTTCCAGCAACGTGGAATCCAACAACTGCATTTTCTATTTTCACATAACCTGTAACGTGACATTACTGCTCTCGCTTGCTCAGGCGCTCTGGTTACATGAGGATCATTTAGAAGAGGACCTCCTGTAACCAAACAAGACTTCTCAACTCTCTTCCCTTGGCAAGGCCACAGAATATGGCCCCACGCACCCCCCTTGGAGCACGACTCGTGGGCCAGCACGGTGGCAGGCTCAGCCACGTAGCTCCCCTCCGGCAGCCCCACAAGGATAATTCTCTGGGAAAGTCGTGGTTTGGTTTCGTGTTTGAGCATTTGTCTCAAGCCATCCCAGCAGTCACAAGCTCTGTACTCGCTGCTCGATGTTGACACGTCGTGTCCTGTGAACCAGCACAGCCACATGAGAGGAAAAACACTGGCAGGTTTCTGAGATTTACAAGGAGCTCTTCATTTTCGCAGCAAGGATTCTGGGAAGCTGATGAAACTGGAAGTCATCCAGCTCAGAAAGTCCAAATCTACCTCATTTCCTTAATACTTGCATTTTCCATTCAATATTTTTAGCAGTTCAATGAAGCAATAAAGGCGGAAAGGTTTTCTGAGGGCTGCATTTCTAAGGTCCTGCTGAGGTTCTGCCTTTAACTGGCAAACTTCCACTGGAAAACAGGCTTCATCCTGACTCAGAAAGGCAGCCTTTGTCCTTGAGGGCAGCTATGGCCCATTGGCTTAACGGCCTCCATTTAAGTCTAGACCCAGAAGAAATTATAAAATGAGCTGCTTCAGCATCACTTGCTGGAAGAGGCGTTCTTTATACATCTGCCACTTGAGTTTAACATTCATTAAAAACCCCAAAATTACAATCGCAGATGATCCAGTCTTTTTCTGAAGCATCTGTCAAATGTGATTTCCCTGCACCAGAGAGTTTTGCCAACGAACAGGTGTTGTACACGGACCTGCCACTCGCTCTGCTTAGATCATCTCACTCGTGAGGTAGAGACTGACAGGATGAGGTTTGGGGTTTTTTCCCTCTTTTATTTTCACCACCCTGCATGGGTGATCCTCTCACGGTGGGAAAGATCCTCTTTGCAGGAGCAGCGGTGGCAGAAACTAGCTTCCACCTTCAATGCCTCAGTTTGAGGTTCTCCCAGGTTTGGTAATTCCAAAGGTTCAGTTTAAAGCTCATAAAAGCCTGCTGTTCCCATCTCAATGCAAATCATTTAGTCAGGAAACATGTAGGTACAGAGCAGTGGGAGCTAGTCACAAACATAGCTGAGACTGGTGTAATACTACAGCCAAATGTTTTTTAAATATATATATATGCACAATTAAAATTAAATCCCCCAAACCTGGAATTAGCTAAATGAGTTATGTTGGTATTTCTGAAAGTGAAAATGTTGTTTTTTCAAATCTTCAGCATTCAAGGCCATTTAGACCCTCATTTGGAAACACCTTTGGGGCGAACAAATGCTTCAAATCCCCTTTGCAAGCAGGGAATAGATTTTAACTTTTCTCCACCTCTTCTGCTGAAGACATTTTATTTTGTAGAAATACTGAAATCTCCATCATGATGGGGAAAAATGTGTTTCTATTTCTTGCTCTGGTAGTCAAAGCAATACAGGTTTCCAACTCCTGCTCCAGTGAAATTGGAATTATTTTTTGCAAAATAAA